TCTCTTGTTAAACCCACATTCATTAATGTGCCAGCCGTGTGTGTGTGTGTGTGTGTGTGTGTGTGTGTGTGTGTGTGTACACCATCAGAGGCAGTGAGATAATCAGCACGTGCAGCCATGGAAAATTTTTACCTGCAAGCGCTTGTTTCCTTGAACACATTTCTCTGACAGGTGACTTTTCATCGAAGAAGACGTGCCGATGCAGGTGGAGGAGTCTCTGGAGCGTTCATGGAGGAGGTGGGAGGAGTCTGGATCATTCAAGGCCCACTGCAGTTCTGACCCACAGCTCCTCGTTCACTCCGACATGCTGAGCAGGGGATACCTGGACACAAGCTTCAAGCACCACAACTTAAACACACGGGTCTCGTTTGCACGGGGATGCTGACATCTGGGTACATTTGTAAAGCTGAGGCTTTAAACAAGAATCTGTCAAGATGGAAATTTGAATAATTTTATTTTCTAATGGAAACAATTCATGCAAAAACCAATACTTCTTCCTCTCGAGGCAGTTGAAGCTAGTTATAATTTACACCTCATTCTCCAGCTGTTTTTCTGTATTTTGTATGCAATCTTTATACACAAAGGCCCTGATTAGATCACACATTGCTTTAATTTACTCAGTTTTGTGCATTGTTTAGACAAATCACTTTTTTATCTAATTAAAATGTTGTTGCCATACAATTTAAATATGACCTTTTGCCGCTAACTAGAAACTAAAGTGACAGACAGAAAGAAACCCGTAAACAGTGATAGACAAAGTACTCAGTACTAAGCTTACTTAAGTATGTCTGTCCAATTTTCACTTAAGTTAAAATACTGGAGTATGTGCTTTCAAAAATACTTATGTATTGAAAGTACTTAAAATTTGAAGTTTTTTTAACCATGCATTTCACTTGAGTTTAGTCTAGAATAAATAGGACAATTTGTAACTCCAAAGATATAACAATAATAATAATAATAATAATAATAATAATAATAATGCATTAGTTTTATGTTGTGCTTTTCTAGACGCTCAAAGAAAGTGCTGGAAGTGTGGCTGCCACTCTGCACATTCAGTACCTCCAGACCACCACAATCCCACCAACAGAAATATACAGTACGTACATGGGGAAGTTGGATTAAGTATCTTACCCCGTGACACATTGATGCTCTCAGGCAGGGATTTGCACCGGCAAACACCTACCTCCTGTGTCAATGAACTCTATGTCTTACTAACCATCCGCCTTTTGCAATGTCAGCTCATTTAGTCTCTACAGTCTCTACTTCAAGGACAAGACTTGGAGCAGTTTTTGATATAATCTAGTATTAAGTGACTCTTTAAGAATCTCTAAATCTATCCTGAGAAGTTTAGTTGTTTGTAATATTTGTAATAATTTGCTCAATTGAAAATAACATTTGTTACAATAAACTAAAAACACTTTGTACAAAACAATTTATAGAACAGAAAGACTAAAAGTCTAAAACATGACTGATCAATTCAAGCTAAAGAATTTTTTATTTGAATTTATAGTTTCTATTCACTTCTGTATCACTTCTGTATAGTTTTAATGTTTAACTATTTGCTTTTTTGTATAGTATCAATATTCTAGTCCTGTTTTAATGTTTGCAACCGTTCCCCACAGAAAGACAACTATTCTATTCTATTATTCTGAGTAGCTCGTCAAACAATGAGATAAGTGTTTTTTGAGAAGAGTTAAACAGAAGTGTAAAAACTAGTTTGAACATTAGATGCTGACCTTCATTATGAGCTCTTGGTGTGTACACTGTGAACAACAACAAAAAATACTTCTTTTAGTTTTCAGAGTTGTAAAGTAACTAAGTACAAATACTTCTTTACTGTATTTAAGTAGAATTTTTGGGTATCTGTATTTTATTTGAGTAATTATTTTTCAGCCTACTTTTTACTTCTTCTTACATTTTCACACACTTATCTTTACTTTCTACTCCTTACATTTTTAAAAAGGTATGAAGTAGAAAGTCGTTACTTTTATTTCATTTTGCTTGTTTTCCTTCCAGCTTGTTATTGTAAAAATAAATACTATCCATATAAATTGTGCCTCCTAGAGTGAATTTAGTTGTGGTTGAATGAAAAGTATAAATATATAAAATTCTGATACTGTATTACTTTGTACACAAACAAATCATGTCACACTCCAGCAGGACATAATCATTAAAATAAAAGGACTGTACTTNCATGTCACACTCCAGCAGGACATAATCATTAAAATAAAAGGACTGTACTTAAGAAGTATTTGTATTTCATGAATTATATTATTGCATTTGGCCACAGCGCTCAGATACATTTTTATTTTGGGGAAAAGGTTTGGTCACCCTTGAGATATGTATATAAACTGAAACAGCTGGACTAGTGCATCTTAAATTTAACATCAATTAATTATTTTAATACAATATAGTCATTTCTGAAGTTTTTTGGGGGGAGGTCACCTCTTAATAAATGTCATTACAGAAAATCTAACTGCTCAYTTTAAATCAATACTTTTACTTTTACTACTTAAGTACAAAAATATCAGATACTTTGACTTTTACTCAAGTAATATTCCTAAAGGAGATTTTAACTTTTACCAAATGTAAGTTTTTGGCAAGATACTTGTAATTTTACTCAAGTATCGCATTGTGGTACTTTATACAACACTGTTAGTTTTATCCCATGAGACATAAATTGGTTCAGTCAAATGTTAAATCTTAAGAGTTTTCGTTTTATGTGTATATTTTATTTAACTTTGACGTCTACGGAAGGTTCTTTAAATCTAGAAATGTTGCAATGAAAAACTGGAAGAAACAACAAATATATTAAAACTAATCATGTTAATTGGCAGCATGGAAAGAGCAAAAAGAGGAGGTGAGGATTTTATCACTCTGCAAACTTTACCCTCCTGCTGGTCATTTTGATCCAAGGACAGCAGGAGGGTTAACTCAGCAGTTTATCGTGACAGCTATGTCTCTCAATGTAAAAATACGAAAGCTTTGTGAATTTTATTCCTTTTTAGTACTGTGTTCAGATATTAATAAGAAAACATAAATGTTGGAAATGATAAAGCCAGTGGACAGAGCAGAGCTGAATGATCTTCAGACTGCCCTGCATTAAAACAGACATGATCCTGTGGTGTAAGTAAGTGGAAGAAGAAATAACTCAAAGGGGCATCTGTTCCATATATGTGCATTCTTCCACGATGACTGAGCTTCTCGTCTCCTCTCTTTGATGCTTTTAGTCATTAAAGTCCAGTGGAGCTGATTAGCACTCAGGAGAGGGAGAACGAAGAAGAGCCGGAGAGGCGAAGACGGGCAGAGTCAGAGTCAAAGAGAGGAGCGTGTGTGGAGGGAGAGTGGGCCCAACGCCAACATACCCCACCCTTACTGCTGCTGCCTGCAGAGTGCTGCATTTCCTGAGGGCAATGCAGAACGAAGAGGTTCACTTCTCAGGTCACTGCACGCTACAAAACAGACAAGAACAGGGAAACTGAGAAGGACGTGGACGAATGTCTCGCGGACTTTTTTTTCTTCTTTTTATTTTTATTTTTTGCAAAATCAGGACATTTATGCACTGACCATATTTGATGAAAAAGACAACAGATACGACTCACCTGGTCTTCATTTGTGTTCTTCACGAAACCTGGCTTGAAACATGGTTTTATTGTGAAGGGTGTGATTATTTCCTGTTTTCATTCTCACTCTGACGTCGGCAATAGAAGGGCCAAACTTTAGGAATACTGTCGGCAAAATTAATATGAGCAAGACGTGAAAGTGTTGCTCCAAGAGTGATGCTCTAAAAGGGCCGAACTACTGAAATTACTGGCATGAAGATATATAAACCAGAGCTATTTAAGAAAACACTTCAACAGACTGTTGTGAGTGATGAAATAAAGTCAGTAAAACTAAAGAAAACACAGCCTGCAGTAAAGCTTCGAGGCTGCAGGGCTGCCCCGCTGCTACAATAGGAACTGAATGTACAAAAGGAAACAGAAAACCTGATTTATTGTTGCTGAAACTAAAAACAAAATGTATTAAAAGTATCACTAGAGCTGAAATGTGTCCTTGCAAATAAGAGTGTATTTATAAGATTTCATAGACAGTAAATATTCAGCATTTTATTTTAATCTAAAATATTAGAAAGATTGCAATATTTGCCGCCAGAGAAGTTCGTCTCTCAGCACATCGGAGTCAGCTGTGAGGAAAAGCAACTTTTCACACCTTAGGTGTGAAACAACTTGCAAGTGGTGACAGGGATAAGTGATCCCCTCTTGGGACAGAAGGATTAGTGAACTATTATCTCATCATTTACAGCTAATGGCTGTGATGAAACAGTACTGTGGTAGATCGAAACCTGCAGCGCTGCAGCATTTCTGCTGTTAGTGGCACGTAGGAAGGACAATGCGTATTCAGTCAGGTACAGCACGGTGCAAATGTGTACATTCTGCGATCAGCTGTCCTGAAAGCTGACTCAAGTCTTTGTTTTTCAGGTTTTCTGAAGGTCCTTCAAATTTAGGCTGCTTTTTAACCCGTTTTTGCGCAGAACCTGCGCATTTTCAGAGAAATCATGTTTGTTTATTAGTAAAGTCACTTAACTCTGACCTTTGAATCATTAAAACATACAAAAGCATCTAAACTCAGAGGATGAACCAGTGTTCAGCATTACAAAGACATTAGACATTTAAAATATGATCTGTATGCATTTTTTTCATCAAAAGCCACAAAAACATTTATTCCAGTTTATTTGCCATACAGCTCATGATCAACTGAAGGGCGATTCATCACTCAAGCAGAGTCAGGGTTTTATTTTTTTGCTGGAGGTTTTTCCAGTTTCTTCAAGACCTGACTTTTAGATGCTGTTCACTTGCTGTAAAAAAGGTATTTTTTTTTGTTTGTTTTTTTTTTTTTGGGGGGGGGGGGGTGACATGTTTTATTGTGTCCCCCACATTGCACAACACGTGTCAAACTCAAGGCACGTGGGCCAAATGTGCACCTGCTAGGGCATTTCATGTGGCCCGTGACAGCTTGTTGATGATAAACATCTCCTATAATGCATGTCAGTAGCTGGCAGTCAGTGAAATACGCAGTTTAAAATCTCTATTTCACTGCATTTTCTTTTGCTGCGGCCCAGTTGTTCTGGTCAGAAATTTCAACTGGAATGCCTCTCAAATTGGAATTTTCTGTGGGAAAGAGCTTAGTCACCACAAGTCATCACTGAGTAAAAATCTCTTACTTCTTGGGCAACCATAACGCTCACATAGCCCTCTGTGAAAATGAGTTTGACACCCCTGCTGTGTAAAATGCTGTCAGGGTCAGGTACAAGAACTGGATGGGAAATGAGTGAAAAAGCAGCCAACGTCTACAGAATAAAATGTCATAAAACCTTCAGAAAGCCTGAAGGACCACTTTTAAAAGATTACAAGAATGTCCAGCTTCTTAGAGACAAAATCTAAATAAATCAGGAGCAGATTTAAACTTTTGCACAGTACTGTTTGAGTTTGTGCGAGTTTGTAGGTAGGTAAGCACTCGACCAACCTGAAGCTGAAATGAGTAAACACAAGCAGATCCTTAAAAATTTATTGAAGTTAATGTAAGATGGATTCATAAGTGAGTGTAAAAAAAAAGAAAGAAACAAACAAACAACCCTTGCATAGATCACAGACCATGCCTTCGTCATCATCTGACAAACTGAACACACAATCCTTGGTCAACACAAAATGACAATGACAGCTGAATTAGATGAACAGAGTTTGGTTTGCTTTGTGGATGAGAAGAGGAGCAGAAGACTTCATCAGTCCTTTAAGTGCTGTGCTCCAATGAAAAAAAAAAGGCTCAGCTTCTTCCTAACAGCAGGTAAATGTGGACTTCTGACAGAAAATACAAACTCATCGCCATCAAACTTTGAAAAACAAACAAGAACATCGTAATCAAGGTACGCAACATCCCGAGATTCAGTCCCATTCTTCCACAGCAGGCAAAAAAACAGTCCAGCATAAGACTTTTTTTTAAAACCCAGAATGCTTTGAGTTCTGTACAGAGTATTGTAATATGGTCCTGTTTTAGATACAATGGACATGTTTCCCCATAAACCAGCATCATCTCTTTAAAGAGCTTCTGAGTCCTAGAGTCTAAGAAACTAGCCCTTGTTGTCCTTGCTCACATTCAAAGTTTAGCAAGCACAACACCCCCCCCCCCCCCCCCCCCCCCCCCCACCCCCCCCCCCCCCCCCCACAGAGACGAGCACGGCTCAGGACACCCGGCGTCGTCCCAGTGATGCAGCCGGCACTAAGGTGCTTTTTTAAGAAAAATCCAGCGAAGGACGCTTTTCACAACTACGCTCACGACAGAGCTTGTCAGGAAGCCTCGGTGCAGATGAGAGCAAAAGGTTTCTGTTCAAAACGATGCAACTGTGTTATTAGTTGATCCACAGCTTGAAAGATAAAGCTCATGCAGTCTTCCACGGCCCATGCAGGTTTTATTTTTGCAATCAGTAGGTTTCTGTAGATTATAGCAGAATGTTCAGCAGAAAAGTCCCATATAAACAAAACATGAACAGAAATGAATCAAATATTTTGTTCCCTTTCTTTGTCTCTCTTGAAACCAAAAAAAAAAAAAACATAAATGATGTATTTTTTTCCCTACAAGTCCATTTCGTCGACAGTGATCATCATACAATGGGTTTCTTTTTCATGGCTTTCAGGAGGAACGTATTGTTTTCATATTCCAGTATAAGGCTTGTTTGTTAGCGTTGCAATTAACAACCAAAATAAGTGAGAAAAATAAGATTGCACATTAAACTTGTTACGTAATTGTAGAATGTAGTGGTTACTTTTGATGAAAACAGTAGTTTTATTTTGTGTCTTTTCAGAAAATATGAATTTTAGATCTTCTTACAGTGAGCAAACCAAATTATTACCTAGAACCATTCTGAACCATAAACTGAAGATAAATTTCCTTCAAGTGCACTACTTTGTTGTCGGTTTGACCGAGCCATTTGTAAGCTTTGGTTTCAACCAGAAACTGCATTAAAAAAATTGTATTTATTTCCCTAAAGCCCCCTTCACTCTGGACAAAGACCTGATCTACGATGTAAAATAAACCCAGCCAGAACATGTACAGTCTTATCAGGGTTTTTCAGGGTCTTCAGGTGAGATGGGTCATGGAGGGTTTTTGAGCATGCACAAATTTTTATTGCAAAGCTTAGGTTTATTAACAAGGTGGCCATGTATCAAATTCTGGTGAAGCGTAAGAATTTGTGATTGCAGCATGTTCACACACAAAGCCAGATTTATTTACGGCGTGAAGCCATCGCTCACCAGAGTGGTCTGTTTGTGGAGGTTCTGGAGCAGGACTGGCCATGATGGCCTCGTGCCCTGTCCTCGTTATGATTAGTTCTGCTGGACGAGGAAAGAGAAATGATGAATGTGCAGAGGAAACCCCATTCACCTGCTATACGTGAAAGGAAATTCCACAAGGTTGTGGAAACCAAGTGTATATGCAATACCGGTAGCAGTAGCGTTGGGCTAGCAAGGCGTGACCTTTTAGCTGCATTCAGGCACAGTTAGAGAGAGTCATGCCAGGATGGGGCCGGTGATGTGGTATGATCATTGCAAGACTGTGCTATTTGGAAATTATGCTGTTTTTAACTCTGGCTCAGTGGATAAATGAACTGTAATAAATTGTACATCAAGTGCTAAGGACATATAGCATCATGATTGCCATCACGCTGAAGAAAGTTTTTTTTTTCTTTTTCAAATTTGCTCAGACCCTTTGATGGACTTGTCAGAGTGTACCCTGCCGCTCGCACAGTGACTGCTGGATGGGGCACCAGTGACTCCTGTGACCCAAAATGGAAGAAGTGGGTAAAGATAACATGTAGATGGGTGGATGCTCAGATCCAGCCACATTCTGGGTCACATACGAGGTGGCAAACATTGCAGGGTCCTAATCCAGTGCGAAGGGGGCCTAAACAAAATGTCTGCCTCTAAAATCTTACCCTGCTATCATCAGAACAAACAGTTAGGCCTGTGTCAAAAAACTCTATTGGCTTTGCCAAAGCAGGCGTGTTTTCACATTTCTCGGCAACAACAACAACACATCTTATAAACAGGTTATATGTCTCTCTATTGCTGTTGAAAATGTTCATTTTTCTTGGGTCATTTAATGCATAGCACCATCTGCTCATGCCCTCACTGTTATGAGGGCTTCGTTTGCATTTTCTTCACTTTACTTTGGATTGATTCAATCAAATTCTGTTCTTTTTTCTATTTGCAAGTAACAATACCAAATAATTTCTTGATAGATGTATTTGAGGCTATTGTATTGTCCTATATAAGTTATTATAGTACATGCTTTTAGATATCTTAGTTGTCCTAATGTACAAAAAAGCCAAGATAAATTGAATCGCCTTTGTTTTTGTTATTTGCCTGAGGATGATACTCTTCAAAAGTACAGTACAAAGATCAAACAAAGTGACAATCAGCTCTTTTAAACTCTAACCATCAATAACATGGGAGATTTGGAAAAAAAAAAGTTGAATGAACAATCAGTTTTTGAACAATTAATTTTCATTTGTTCTTGTAGGAAGACAATAGTGGTAGTTGTGTACTAGCACCACAAAGGACGGCCACTGCACCAACAGAAGCAGCTCTGACATTCGAGTGCTCTGCAGTGGAGCTGTTTTTTTTTTTTCATCATCATCTTGTCAGGAGAGTGAAATTTGAAAAAAAAAATCACACTGTCCAGTGCAGCGGTTTACTATTAAATAGATGAAGTTCTCTCAGAACTTACAGTAGATTGGTGTACAGTAGCTGGAGATTTTCAAGTAACATTTTGTCCCAACCTTACTGCAGTTCTCTTGTCAAAACTTAAAAATGCGCATGAAAACTTAGCAAACATTAAAACAAAATTCTAAATGGGACTGCATTTCGATGCGCACTGTAATGCCCAAAAACTGCAATATGACAGCTTTAACGCTCATTCTCTAAATCAATCAAAGGGAAGAGGGGGAAGGGGAGGAAAAGGAGGGGGTGTGTGTG